TCACGTTTGCATGAATGCAGTTGTCACCATAGGGGTGAGGAGAAGGAATTAAAGGCTTGTTGCATAGCAAAGGGTAGAACTGCCTCTTTCTGCAGCACGAGTTTAGACTGGTGGAAACGCCTTTGGAACTGCAGAATGCCTACTGTTGAAAGTTAGACTTACTGTCTTGGTCATAGTGAAGCATGACTGAAATAACATCATCTACACTTGACACCTCCAGGAGTCAGTTGTGTGGCTTTGTTGTTTGCTGCAAAGCGCAAACAAAAAAGCAGACAAAAGTCTGATCTGACTGCAGATTGTCTCTGAGAGGGGAAATGTGTCTCAGTTGTGATGGCTGTTGCAAGCACAGTGTGGAGGCAGCCACTATTTGTCCTCTGAGGGACTGCAGGTCTTATGGTCAGTGGTTTTCTTTGCCAAGTTTTCAGATTGCTTTGTGATGTTAGATCTTAAAAGACTTGGTTTTCTGTGCCTGTGGCCAGCTGATCACCTCATAACTAAATGTGGCACATGAAGGTTGACCACCACTACCTGTTTGTCTGTTTCCTTGTAAATCATTATCATTGCCAATCACAGTATGAGTTAATTCACCTTTCCAGCTCCCTTCCCCTAGTCTATTGTGTTGTTTTCAGTACTTTTGCTAGCTTGCATGTCTTAAGCCACCTGTGTGTTTGTTACCACAAGAGCATTATTTTTCCTTCTAAAGACATTTCTGTGCTATAATCTTAGACTTGAACAAGGAGTGGGACATGCTTTGAGTTTGAATTTTTGTTTCTTTCATTGTCACTTTGAATTTTGTTCTTCTATAAATTAAAAATGGAGTGTTGACATCATGGGTTTGTGAGGTGTTACAGTGTGGTCAAAGTAAACACATACGATATTCTAGGAAAGTAAACCAAATATACAGGTATCATGGCTAGAGACAAATTTCTCATTCAAAACAATAGTTCTCTCCTTATTTTTGCACTCTAATATCAAAAGATTTATGCCTTTTGGTTTTGTGTATTAGAAATGTTCACAGTATGAGGTTTTTATGTAACTATGGAGAAACCACAAATTATTATCTGAGATATACCAGTTTGATTTTTTCCAAGCTATTATGGAAGAAGTCCAGTTCCAGTAAAGTATTTTCCTTGGGTCTTAAAATGATTACTAGAAGCCCAATGTCAAGCACAAGCCTGAATCAGTATTTATTGAGCACAATGGGTGATCTGTCAAGCACGTACCGCTAGTGTTCAAAGGCAATTGGAATGAGGGATTTGCACTGTTGTGTTAGTGCAAAAAGAATGGATCTCATGGATCAAGGACCCTTTACTGGTCTGTCTTTAAGAAATCCACCTTGTACCTTCCCTGAGCAAAGGGTCCTGTGCTTCATCATAGTAATAATAATTCGAAAGACTGTGTAGCTGTTTGATACCGCAGGTATGAACTGACCTATTTGCAATATCAAAATGGAAGGGCCATGTGTTTCGACAGTTTAATACTCTAGCAGTTAATGTGATGATAATCTTAATATATAGGCTTCCAGCATGATCTAATCAGGTCTTGATACTTTTTTGTGCATATGAGAAGATAATCTAAGGCCATGATGAACGATTATAAGGTTTTATAGGTAAAAGGATGGAAAGCTCTCATTCAGCCTAGTGATCAGGTAATGATTCATAGGAGTGGCATGAGTAGACCTCATAAGAGGTTCCTCTCCTGCGGACGCAAAGGCAGCTCTGTGTTCCCCCTGCCTCTCTCAGCGCAGCAATGAGGACTGGGAGGGCTCTGGAGAGCTCCACATCACAGCAAGGGTTTTTTTCCTTGCTGAAACACAAACCATCTGTAGCACAGTGTTTGCATCCCAATAGCTCCAGTCAGAATAAAAGTGCATGTGGGAGGGGGAGATAATGATTTATGTGCAATTGGAACTGGCCTTGTGTAATGGTAGGGGTGTTATGCATATACGTTCTTTCATCAGTCACTAATGAGAATGTCATGGGAATTTGATAGAAGTTAATATTTATTTCCAATTGAAAAGTTGTGGATTTTATTTTTGTTTAATAAGCATTGTCTCCATGGACTATTTTCCACTTCCAGCATAGAACACTTATGATTTCCAGTGGTAGGACGTGATAGTAGTTAAAACAAGGAATGATGTAGAGGGATAAACCAGTGGGTAACTGGAACAGAGAGGCACCCCAGCATCTTGCAGGGTTCAGAGCTGTACAGGGAAAATCTGTGAGACAAATCTGTTGGAAACAATGGGAGCAGAAGAATAGCCAGGGAATTTTCTGCAAGTCTGCTATTTCCCACAATTCTGACATAACCTTCTCTTTTTTGTCTTGCTTGACGTTTTCCCCCCCTCAAACCTTCTTCCTGTCTCTTCCTGCTTCCATATTAACCCATAAATATAGTGTGTCCAACTCCATTATGCATCTATGGAAACTAGTAGTATCTGTTCAGTACCTTAATGCCTGTATAGATATCTGTGTGCTCACTCTTCAAATCAGAGTGAGACTCCAAACAAGACAGCAATGGGAGCTGTTTGGATGAAGGACCTGTGCAGCAGCTTCACTACCATGTTCATGTGGATATGTGTTTTGTCAGCCCTGTATAAATGGCAGGGAGCTGAGAGATGATGATGTGGAAATCATTTTCATAACCCTTTTTCTCTGCCCTTCCCTTTCCTCCTGACAACGCAGGCAATGTTTCAGGTGAGGGACAATCAGCCTAAATTAACATGGCTGAAAAAGCATAGGGTCTTCATGGTGTATATTCCATAGGCTTGGTTTCTATAATCTCATTATCTACTGAAGTCAAAGTGAAATATTTCTACCAAGGAAGTTTGAAAGAAGTACAAGAGGTTGTTGGAGGGACAAGAGTTTTTACAAAATAGTAACAATTATTAAGATGTAAGCAAGAAGATTTCCCACATTCCAATGGTCTCAGCTTGCTCTGGGTTTTGTTCTCCCACCTTTATTTAAAGTTGCACTGCACTGAGGCTTTTGAGGCTGCTAGCCCTTCAGGCAGGGAAGCTCTGCCCCTCAGGGCAGATGCTCTTTTGACTACGCAAACAAGCACAGAATTCTAGCTTGATGATACCTCATCAGATTATCTGTCATTAATCAAAATGATATTTCAGTGTAAACACAAAGTGTAAATGTGTTTCAGTGTAATCATGTAATGTGTTTGTAGGCACAAAACCAGACCCTGTAAATGCTCTAATGGTAATGAACCTACGGTAGAAAAGGATTTCGTCAGGGCTTTCTAAGCTGAAAAGCCCAGTTCCCCTCCATGGCAAACAGGGTTGGAGGATGTGCTTTGAGTCTTGGCATTGGACTCCATATGCTTTTAAGTGGCTGTGACATCTGTAATTTCTTGTATTCTTCTGTATCTTGGTAGGAAAGCCGCTGCTGAGAGATGCAGTGTGTGAGGATCCTGTGATCGTGATTTGAGAATATGTTCCTGGTGTGTCCTTCATCTGCTCCATCTCCTGGGAGTAGATTGTTTATATTGCTAGAAATTGTTAATGCAGTTAAACTATCTTCCAGCATGCAAACTTATGTCATTTCACTCTGTTAGTGTCCCTTGGCTAAAAATGAATGCTTTGATGTAATTGTATTTGAGTTGCTTTATGATTTATTAACAATTCCATTAAAATACCATAGAGTCTGCTACAGTGAGAGAGTTATGCAATCCACAGTAGAAAAACCATGAAGTTCCACAGAAAAGCTTTAAAGGATTTCTTTTCTCTTTTGTATTTCCCTTTGTAAAAAAAAAATTTAAAAAAAAATCAAATTAAGTCTGGTGTGACACTGTGCTGGAGCTTGGTTCTTCAGGGTTGTACAGGTTGTATTTATCCAACACATTAAAAAACATTCCTGGTCCATAAACCACAATAAACTGTTTGCTGTTAATAGAGTAGCATCTTTATAGGTACAACTTAAAGACTAAACCTGTTTTTCTGAACAGCAATGTAAGTTTACATGAGAGCTCAGCTTTGGCACTGCCAGAAGAAAATCACTGTTTCTATTGCAGTTAGCTCTCTGCTGCTGTTGCTGTCCCTGAATTAGTGTCCCTGAGTTGGAGCAGGATGGTCAAATTGCAATGACAAGAAGCTTCTGAATTGATTTAGTTCTTACACAGTTGATTACACAAGCTAATGAATTGATTTTGCACATTAAAATAGATATTATTTTTTTTGTAGTGTAATGTATTATGGAAAACCTTGGGAATAGTTTTCCTAGCATTTGACATCTTATTTTGTAAATTATATCTCGAGAGATGTTAAGGTTGAGCCTTTTTATTTTCTAGGCATGTTCCATGCAAATTTAACAGAAACATTGCTTCAGTCTTGGTTGTGCATTGGTTTTTAAAAGCAAAATCTTTACTTTGTCTGTGCAGTTACTCTATCAATTGTTCATGACCTCATGTGCAAGAGGCAGCAGCAACATCTGCACAGTTGCAGTATAGAGTGATTAATTAGCGACAATATAATAACTATTACTTAAAACTGAGTAAATTGTCCCTAAAGATAAACTGCTCTGGTTTGGGGTTTTTGTTTTCATTTTTATTTATTTAATTGTATGTAGCTATTAAGCATAACATTTTTGTGGAAGTCATTCAAAAGTTGCTCAAATTATGCTTCACAGCTTAGGCTTGTGTCCAGTGTTGTCACTCTGTGCTTCACTGCTACTGAGTCCATATTTTGAATGAGATATTGAAGGTACCATCTGGCCATCTGTGGAGAAAGTAAACGAGTTATGACCCTGTGCTAAAAACAACCCCCTCGCCCCAGAACAGAATAGGTATCCTAGAAAATCTGTTCTCTTTCATTGAAAAGGCTCCCATTGTGTGTAAAAGTTGGTGTTTGAAATAATTTGGTCTCTGCTTTTGCTTGCCTGTTCAGTTGTGGTACTTGGAAATCGCTTGTTATTTTGTAAGCTCTTTGAGTTGAGGATGTAAAGTAAAATCAGATTTTATACTAAACGTTTTTTCTGATATGTTTTTTTTTTCAGATACTTCAAGAAATGTCAAGGCATCTCCAGAAACAGCTGAAATATTTTTTCAGAAGTTAAGAAATAAAAATGAATTCACAATCCTGGTTACCTTAAAACAAGCCCATTTGAATTCAGGGGTTATTCTCTCTATTCATCATTTAGATCACAGGTAAATATTGCTATCTATATGCTAGCTAATGAAAGTATGTATTTATGTTGTCAAAAATTGAACATAAATTAGAGTGAAATTGTTGTCTAGCAGGTCATTTGCAAATATTTATAGTGTTTGGGTAGGCATATTGTGCAGATTCATAAAAAAATCACAAGTCCAAATCAGTCAAGGGAAAGTGGAACAGCTGCTACTTTTTAAATGTCTCTTGCCACGAAGGGCGTGAAAAGCCAGTTCTCTCTTGTCGTTCATAACCATAAGGACCAGATGCTCAGCTGGTGTAAAGCTGTCACATCAGTATAACTACAGTGATTCACAAAGCCTGGCCCTCTACGTCCACCTCTTCACTGGTTGGTTTTTAACTCTGCAAGAAGTTTTAAAAAAGCAGAAAAATCCTAGAGTTACAGGCTTATGCCTCCCATGAATTGCAGAGCACTTTACTCAAAATGTTACAAACCTCAAAAAACTAAACTGAATGACATAGAGTACTTAAAATTATTCCTTTGATAGGATAATGACTGCTAGAGAAATAAGATATTCTTTATATGTTTGTTTGAATAATGGCTATTAAATATAAGCACCCTATGATTCTGTGACAGAATAAAAATGAGTTCCAGAATGTGGACTTTCTAGGCAGTCGTTACCACAAGCAACAGATGATCTCTGTTTTAGGTTCATAGTCCTTTTTATTTTCCTGTGTACAATCCCATAATTCTTTCTCGATATTCTCACTACAAATTAGAAAAGAAAAGTTAAAGAGAGATGTTCAGGCAAAGCAAAATACTTGTTTCTTCTTCATGAGTGTACAAGTTTTCATAAGCAGGCATAATGTCAATTATTTTGTGCTAGAGGATAGTCCAGTTCTAGTTTTATTCTATTTCCCAGAGTCCCCGTCTTCTGCAATTCACCTATTAATAGAAAAAAAAAGCAACCAACAAACAACAAAACACTCAAGAAGATAAAAAGAGAGCACTCCCAAGGATCATTGTACCAAGTTTATAAAAGCATCTTTAACACCAAGGGGGTGTTTGAATGCCACCTGGATGATGTTTACTGATGTTATATCATAGAGGAGCCAAGGGTCTTCTCTGTTAACTCTTCTCTACTTCTCATGTGCTGCAGTGAGCAATGTGTAAGGGACAGAAGTGGGCAGCTGTGATTATGGAGTTTTGAACTCAGACTGTACCACCATATGTGCAGATCATCCCAGATGGGAAAGTTTATTCTGTCTCAAATGGGAGAGCAGGTCTGCAAGGCCAGCTGTGCCCTGACAAAGCTGGTTTCTACATTTGTAGGAAGAACATGGATTGGTTAGGCTACTGATAGGACCAGCACAACTATATCTGAAATTTCAAAATTAGAGATGAAACCTTCATGTGCCAAAATAGCTGCAGAGGTGGGCAAAGAGGTGACAATGTGAAACTCTCAGACTCTGGAAAAGAGAATAACCTCCTCTGAAAGGAGGCAATGTTTGTTAGAAAACTTCTCCTGGCCTTAGGAATGGGGTGAAGAAAGGGACATGTGATAAAAGATTAAATATATGTGTAGTGTATAACAGAGCAAAACTTGACAACATGGAGAGTTGCCATATGGGAGAAAACGCTGCCACTTAGTGAACACAGGGTGTGATAAAAGTACAAAAAATGTGTAACGAACTTTCAGTGTAAGGCTGCAGAAGGATTTGGTATATATCAGTTGGGAAAATAATTAATTATCGAAGTAAGTAGAGCTGGGCAAGTAGACCTGTTGTTGGTCTTATGCAAGCAAGGATGCATTAAATGGATTCTATCCAGCAAAGAAAACGAAAGGTTAAAGCAGTGCTGGTAATCAGATCGCATGGCCATTCAAACATAACGGTGCTTATCTCATTTGAATCTCTATGCCTTTATAAAACATGGTTGTTAAAGGGTGATAAACAGGACTCTGAAAATCCTATTATTTTATATTAGTATATTTTTAGGGATGGGTGATAAGATTTTTAACAATGTATTGATAACATTTATACTTTTTCAAGAAATTTCTCTCATACCTTAAATATTTGCAGGTTTTATTACTTTTTCATCATCTTCAGTTTATTTGCATATTGGAATCTGAACTGTCTAATGGCAATGGAAAGCATTTGTCGAGTTCTCTAGCTGAAATCAGAAAGTCTGCATTTGTGTGTAAGGTATTTTAACTGTCGATGCTGCAGATGCATAACTTAGTGGCATTGCTAAGCGGTTTTGAGGGCCTTTTTCTCTTAGCTGTGGAAACTTTTAGCACTCTTATTCTAACATTATAATGTTAGAGGTATGAAAAATTAAAATACCCAGTTTGTGCCTTGCTGAAAAAAACCTCCTACCACCATTTTAGACAACGTGAGCTCTTTCTCTTACTATATCCTCTTAAGTGATGCCTAGAATTTACATGTTTTCTATAGTGATGCAAGCTTTATGTTTGTTTGGCCAAGGCCAATGGTATCCTGAGGTGCATTAAGCAGAGTGTGGTCAGCAGGTTGAGGGAGGTTCTCCTCCTCCTCTACTCTGTGCTAGTGAGAGCACATCTGGAATACTGTGTCCAGTTCTGGGCTTCCTGGTTCCAGAAAGACAAAGGAACTACTGGAGAGAGTCCAGCAGAGGGCTACAAAGATGATGAATGGACTGGAGCATCTCCCATATGAGGAAAGGCTGAGAGAGCTGAGTCTCTTTAGACTGGAGGAGACTGAGAGGAGAGCTCATTATTATTGTAAATATCAAAAGGGTGGGCGTCAGGAGGATGGGACCAGACTCTTCTTGATTGTGCCCAGTGACAGGACAAGGGACAACAGATACAAACTGAACACAGGAAGTTCAAGCTGAACATGAGGAAAAACTTTTGTCTCCTCCTTTTCTGGAGATATTCAAAACCTGCCTGGATGTGATTCTGTGCAACCGGCTCTACGTGAACCTGCTTTAGCAGGGGGTTTGGACTAGATGGTTTTCATAGGTCCCTTCCAACACCTACCATTCTCTGATTATGCTTTTCTCTAGTATTTAACGTATTAAAATCTTTACAACTGATCTTAAAGTGAAAAAATCTGAAACCATACCTGTAACTATCCCTTTCTAGTTTGCTTGTATTCTTCCACAGAGATTGCTTTTTTCACCCCACTGATTAGAGCAGCTGAGGAGTTTGGGCAATGGTAGTTTTGGATGCAGCTTGGAAGTGATACTTTCAAGAAAACTCTTGTGGTGTCAGGGAATCCAAATTGCACATCACTAAGCATTCAGATGAGTTTCAGGCAGCTGAATGCTTATTTCTGGGCTATTTTACGTATGGCATATATCTAAAAGACAGAAGTTAAAATGCTTTCTTGAGAGCATCACCTTGACTACATAGGGTGTCCTGCCTAAAATGCATTGTGCCTTACAATAACAAAGTAAATATTTTGAAAGGTGTTAATGAAGTGATGCCTTAAGTCAGAGTGGAAGCACTGTTAAACACTGATTGCTGTGTGCTTGCTCTCAGACTCCAGTTTAAACTGTATTGTCTTCCTCATTTCACTTCTGAATTTCTCTCAGCTTCTTCTTGATGGGCGAATCAGCAGAGAAATGATTTTAATCTGTGATGGGGTGGTAATATATGTTAGATCTCACTATTCCATCATATATTTTCATTTAATTGACAACAGTGGAGTGATGTGATAAAGCTTTTCCTCCCTTCATGGTTAGCTGGCTTTATGCAACTAATGTTATATTCATATCTCTTGAGATACTGCATATTAGGGCCCTTAAAGGATGAAATCACTGGATTATAGTTTAACCATTCTTTCTGTCAGCCAGTGCTTTTTATATCCTGAAATGAAGCACTGAAATAAATAGAATATTATGGATA